GGTGGGCATGGCGAGAGAATGAAGTCAAGTGCAGAGGGGGACCTCCCCCCCCTCACACACACACCAAACACGACACATAGAGAGGTCCGGGTACAGGGGGTCCCCAAATCTAAAAGAGGCCGATGCCGCCGACTGAATCACTTTTGGACGTCACGAGGGCGACGGGGAGGAAGGAGGCGAGGAGGAGGAGGAATAGAGAGGGTGCGCGACCCGCCCGGAGAAAGGAGTTCTGTAAAAGTGGTGGTGGTGGGGGGGGGGAGGGCGTTGACCTCTAATTGCACCACGGCACGCAAGTCTGACCGGACGGCCGGGACTTATGCTCATTTCGGCGACGAATGACTAAGAGGCCCGCCCATTCCATTCCCCCTTCCCTTCCTTGCCCGGAAGACGCAACGCGTGAAATGTATCGGCTGCGTCCCATACGGCGGCACGGCGGCGGGGACAAACTGTACCGGACGCTGCAGTGTTGCGGGTTCGCCTACTCCCTCTGCCTGTCAGGCGCCATAGCCCCTGCGACCCAATGGGGGGTATGCAATCAACACTGCGGCTATTCACCCGCTACTAATCGTCCGAAAGCTTTTGCGGAAGCGCCACGGCCGGTCGTATTGCCCCGCCCCCGCCCGCATCGCTGTGACCGGAACTGACCAACGTTTTCGACAACGGCACCCCGGCCTGGGCCCTGGGCCTGGCCCTGCGGCCTGCCCCAGCGAAAATGGGTCATTTGGAGCGGATACGCCACGACGGTCGCGGTCGTTTGGGTGGAGTCCCACTGCTGTACACAGGAGCCCCCCTCCCCCCCAACTCCCTTCCACTCCCCTCCACTCCAATTTTCCAGTCAATCGACACTAGACGCGGCGACGAGCTTGGTTTTGTTGTTAGACAACGCGATTGTCTGCGCCAAATCACCGCAGCAGAAGCAGAACCTCGTTGAACTCTCAAAATTGCGGACGCAGGTCCCCGGCTGCCACCGTCGCCACCGCCCTACCCCTTGTCCGCGGGTGTCGCTGGAGGCCCTGGCTGTCCCTCGCAACTGGAACTGGAGCGAGCAGTCCAGGAGAGTCTCGGCACACAATCCGACACTCCGCGGTCAAGTGAGGCTCGACTGCCGCCAAACGGACTTGGCTGAGTCCGTCATAGCGGGCGACGCACTCACTCCCGACACGTCGCCTGGGTGTGTGCAGGTGTGTGGGGGCGTGTGGGCGCCCCCGGGCTGACGGAGGACCTGCTCGTCTTCGCACAGTGTGACGGGTGATTCATAAAAGACATACAGGTGCGGGCCGGTTTGCCTACCCGCTCTGCCCGTAAGGCGCCATAGCTCCTTGGGTAGGCAAACCTGCCCGAACCTGTGTCTTTTAGAAAACACTCAGCACACCCTCAATAAAAAAAAATCAGAAATAATAAAAAACGAAATCAGAAAAAATAATAATAAATAAAAGCAAGGGAAAATGGAAAAAATGTGTAACGTGTACGTTTGAATGGTTTGAATTTAAGAAAATATACCCCACGGGCATAGTGCAGTTGGCCCGAGCGACACCTGCCTGACTGATGGAGAGCACCTCGCGGGGGAGGCCGAGTCCATTCAACCCCGGCGGGGCGGGCAGACCCGAGGGCAGTTCCCCGGCGCCGGACTAGGCTTAGCGCGGCGACGCGGAAGTGCGGCTGGCGCGAAGGGGCCCGCGCGGGGAGGGTAGTACCGCGAGCAGGAACAAACAGCCAGGGCTGTCTCGCCCAACCCCTCACTATGGGGGGGATGGCGGCGCTAATGTCCGTCGCCCAAGCCACCCGGGGTGAACGCACGGCGGCGAGCACGGCGGCCACTCCTTCACTCACACACAAACACTGAGAATCGAACACCAACGACTCTGGCCGGCCCCAGCCCCGCCCCCGCGCGCGCGGGAGTTCGACGGCCCGAAGAGTGAAGTGCCGCGGCCGATCAAAGGAAAGCCTTCGCAGAAGTGCAGCAGCCGCTCTTGCAAATTGTTTTGGGGGATAGGGGGACAGCCGCCGAGTAACGTTCCGAATAACGTCGCAACACACACCTGTTGTGATACCGAAAATGTCTAAATGCCAAATTTGATACACAACTCTTGTGATGCGGATTTCATCATTACTTCTCCTGACCAAGGAAAGAAAAACTGCTTGCTGCATTCAAGTAAGTTTGTCAACGTACTTAGCGAGTGATATAATTTATCGGGTCGGTTCTTAACAAAGGACAATAGCATTAAGCAACAAGAAGGATTGCGAGTAAGGTCGAATCGAGGGTGAAAGCGCAAAATTACATTGAAAAACTGAATTCACACATCTTAGCCTAATGGCAGAGCCAATAAACGCGGGTTAAGCCCCCCATTTCAAAACAAAGCAGTTACTGGAATTTCCTCATTAGACCCTCACAGTGACGCGTGCCAACGCCGCCATGTCCATACCGGACGGATGCCCAAGTTGCTTTCCATCGAATATCGAGCCTACAAGTGAAAATGTAAAAGAAGTATCTGCTATAGCGCAGGTGCTGAGGTGCACTCTGGCGGATGCACTCACCACACCCACGCCCTGCTGCTTCGCCTGCTTCGCCTGCTTCGCGCCTGGCCGATGGCGAGACGGACGGTTGCGACGGTCGGGCGGCGGGTCCGAGCGGGCGGGCGGGCGCAGCGCGACTGTTATCACGGCGGCGAGGCTCGCCCATGGCCCCCGCCCCCCTGCC